TCTGTACTAACTACCCGCTTACCCTACTTATTCTCTATGGGGGGGGGGGGGGTCTGCAGCACCCTACGGTGCAGTCCTATCCATCCCAAGTACAGGGGGACTTACCTAAGGGAACCCTGTTCGGGCGCCAGATGCCGGGGTCCAACCCCAGCAGGTCCAGGGGTTCCCCAAAGGTGTGGACGGAGTCGGCGAAGAAGGAAGGACACGGAGACAGTGTTCAGTTGATCAGCAGCCTAGCCAGGATCTCCAGCCAGGATCTCCAGCCAAGTTCTGGTCTGGATCTCCAGCGAAGTTCTGCTGTTTATTGTTTTGTTACATCCGTATTTATACCAGTTGATTTTAATCCTGTCAATTTCTATTACAAAGGTTAGGGCGTTTCTTATCTCCATTCCAGGGAGTAAAGATTATGTAGCTTAAGCATGATTGTTTGTAGTGATTAACTACCTGCCTGGCACTTAGTTAAGGAGTTTCATCCCCTCCCTGACTTCAGGGAAAAATTCCTACCTGGGGAAACAACCTTTCTAGGAGAGGCATCCCCTCCCTGACTTCAGGGAAAAATTCCTACCTGGGGAAACAACCTTTCTTGGAGAGGTGACCTTGGTTAAAACACACAGCGCTAAGGGGAGCAAACATATTAAGAACAGTATGCTATATACGTCAGGTCCCTTGAAACATATGCTGTGCAGATGTTTCTTTCCTGCAGCGACTGTGTCAAGCAGCAAGGATGGACCGGCTTCCGGCACCCCACAGCACAGTGGCCTTTGGATGCCTCTGTGTGTCCTGGGTAGGAGAGGTGGCTCCTTTCCAACTTGGGCTGGGCTTGGAGGGGTCTGGGGAGCAGGAAGGAGTCCGGGAGCCAGAGGCCGCCGTAGCTCCCTGCCCTTCCCTGTCCCCCCTGTCCTCGCCAGGCCTGCTGACCATTCTGTTTCCCACAGACCCATTCAGAATTCCGAAAGAGGAAGATGTGATGCTGCCAGGCTTCTTTCTCACCCTGTATCAGTGTCCACCTTGATCATGAGATCGGATTTCTGAATCAGCTGCACATCGGACCCAGCTGGGCCTTGAGCCTGCCTGGCTTTTCCATGTCTTTGGGGAGCTGAAGCCTATCCCTGGCTTGGTAAATGCTTTCTGATCATTCATCTCTCTCCATTTGGTGTTTTGCTTTGGAAATTCAGGGTGTAGTAAAAGTGTCTGGACCTGTACTTATGTTAGCATTTTAAAAATATAACTGATCTTTGGCAAAGGAATAAAAAAAGGTTGGAGGGGAGGGGTGACAACATTAAGATAAAGACAAAAGCATTTTCTAGTTCCTTCTCCTTATTAAATGCAGCTCTTATGTGCTGGATTCACGATGCTATAGAATAATCTATCAAGGGCCTATAGTGTCAGGCAGTATTCTACAGCTGAACACAGTTTTATCATTTACTCCTCAAAGCAGATCTCACCTTTGACCCCCGCCCCCATTTTACAGATGAGGAAACTGAGGCACAAGGAGTTACTTTCTCAAAGGTACAGAGCAAGTAAGCAATGGGGCCCAGATGCTAATCCAAGCATTTTGACTCCAAAGCACGTGCCCACCCATAACCTGCACACTCTGGGGGAGAAAGATAGTAAGGAGAAGCACAAGCCAACTCATTTAGAAACAGTTCCAGGGAATATATGGACTTAATTTAAAATGTGTGAGTTCTTTCTAATAGTGGGAAGAACGATGAACATCTGACGCCTTCTCAGTTATAAATCTATTTGTAGAGAGCACGGATTGTTCCTCTATGGTAAAGAGCCATGTTAGGGGTCCTAGACAGCAGTTCACATAGAAGGAAAAACTTTTTTATGACGTGGCTCATCACTGCATAGATTTGCATGGAAGTCACATTCCCCAGCTACATTATTTTTTAAAATGTAATTTACTTTAATTTTTTCCATCACCATTTATCCCCTTTATGCTCTCTTACACCTCCTACCCCCGCAATCACCACACTGTTGTCCATGTCCATGAGTTTTCTCTCTTTTTTTCCTTTTTGCTCAACCCCTCCACCAGCACCCCAAAATCCCCCTCCTCAACACATACACCAGATCTGTCTGCCTGTTTTCTATCTATGAGTCTGTCTCTATTTTGCGCGGTAGTTCAGTTTGTTCATTAAATTCCACATATGAGTGAAATCATATGATGCTTGTCTTTCCCTGCCTGGTTTATTTCACTTAGCATAGTGTTCTCCAGGTCCACTCATGCTGTTGCAAAGGGTAAAATTTTCTTCCTTTTTACAGCAGAGTAGTATGCCATGGTGTAAATGTACCACAGCTTTTTTATCCACTCATCTACTGATGGGCACTTGGGCTGCTTCCAAATCTTGGCTGTTGTAAATAACACTGCAATGATCATAGGGCTGTATATATTCTTCGAATTTGTGTTTCAGGTTTCTTTGGATAAATTTCCAGAAGATGAATTGCTAGGTCATAAAGCAGTTCCATTCTTATTTTTTTTGAGGTGACTTTGTAGTGTTTTCCACAGTGGCTACATTCTGCATCCCCACCAGCAGTGCACAAAGGTTCTCTTTTCTCCACATCCGCACCAACACTTGTTGTCCCAGCTACATTATTTTATTTGGTAGAGGTCTGGCCTAACGCCATCTGAAAGGCTAACCTATGAGGCAGATGTTGCAAAGGGATTTAACTGTGTTTGATGCTTCAGTTTTGCAAAGAATTCGAGGTCTGACATGGGAAGAACTTTTGGTGACTCTCTGCCAACTTTGGATTTACCCCAAAATGCTTTAGGAAAATAATTTCTCTACAGAGGTGAAGAAAAGCAGGAAATGATAAATATACCTGGTGAATTAGATCAATGTGCCCAGATAATTCAGGGCCCAAGTCCTTTTTTTTCTGTAATAGGGCATTTGTCTGAATTTTCTGAGTTGTCCCCATCATTCAGTTCGCCTGTTCCTGAAGAGACTCAGCTTAAATTCCCGCCATGTCTCTGGGCTCCCATTTTGCTCTGCTAATTAAGGAACTCTGAGGGGCTCCTTAAGGGGTGAGTCTACACTTGAAAATAGAACAGATCTTAACACACCAAGGCTTTGCTTTAAGCCAACTTCATGACCAGCCCAGTTTGTTGCACAATGAGTTTGGTTTCTATAGCAACTGACATGTCACCAGGGCTGCTATACTCACTGGGCAGCCAGGCCATGGTCCAGCTCATGGCTGCATGGGTCTGGGACATGATCTGGGCCATAATATGATAATAAAGGTGGTAGTTTTTACTTTATTTTTTAAAAAAATGTATTGATTTCAGAGAGGAAGGGAGAGGGAAAGATAGAAACATCAATGATGAGAAAGAATCATTGATTGGCTGCCTTCTGCACGCCCCACACTGGGGACCAAGCCCACAACCCGTGCATGTGTCCTGACTGGGAATCGAACCATGACCTCCTGATTCATAGGCCAACACTCAACCACTGAGCCACGCTGGCCGGGCAAGGTGGTAATTTTTAAAGGATTTTTATTACAAGTAACATCCCTCATTTGATGAAATTGACATTTTTCTGCCAACTTGGCTCTCTTGCCTAAACCTTGGGGCTTTGCACTCTAGTAATTCTTCAAATGTAATGTTTTATAGAATGTAAAGTGAGTTAACTCATCCTTTTTGTCAGTGTTGTAAGTTCCATATGGAGCATTTACATCTGTATTAATCAGACACGCTAAAATCATTGAGTGAGCCTACAACTGTTCATTTTAATAATAGTTTTCAACAGATGACAAAGCACCCCATGCAGCAGCTACCCGGCTTTAGCAAGAAAGCTAAAAATTATATCAAGTGTATGGAGTTGCATTATTTAAACTTAAATTCATTTTTTTTCTATTAAAAACACCCTCAATTCAATAAGTTACAACATGTATTTTGAAACATTTGGGGAATGATCCTATCTGCCTTATTTCATTCTTAAACAGCAGAGTCGAGACACCAATTCCTACTAAAAATCTTCCGAGGGAGATATCAACTATGGTGATGTGTCCCCCTGATTAAGTAAGAAAAAAAGAGTTGGGGCTTTGCCTGAAAGGACATCATTTCAGAAGTTCATTTGCTTTTTTCTTCATTAAAAGCAAGAAAATGTGGGTGGTTAATCTGAGAGCTGCCATTTCTTTAGCAATACATTAAGACTTAACTGGGTGGATGATTGTATGACAAGAGCTATTTAGGATTAGAAAGGAGTCGTGGCTTGGATGTAAGTGAATCACACGCTATTTGTGAATCCTTCGGCAGTTAATTCGGATCATTTCCATTGCACTGCGAGCAGACGGCAGACTTTCTCCCCCGTTACCCCAACGTCCACGTCAGTTCCCAGAGGAATCGAGTTTGTCCTACAGATGTTGGCTCTGATGGGGATGAGCCCGGGGGACTCTAAACGTGCAGTTGAATTTATCCCCTTTCTGGATACTGTTAAATCACTCCTGCCTCAAGCAGAGGACTGGTCTTTGCTTCAAAGGCAGCTAAAGAGTGAATTATTTACCAAATTGCACAAAAGGGAGGATTTATCAAGCCCCTTCTCTCCCAGAGAGGACAACCTCAGACGTGGAGGCCTTAATTACTCTTTCTTGGCTATAAATTATGCCATTCAGATGCTTGTGAAAGCTTCTCTTCATGCTCTTGCTTGAGTCATAAAACTTGATACCTGGGGCCAAATGCCTTTATTTCCTGACCCCACCTCACCCCCCAAGGGTGAAGAAGATGAAAAGGCAGCAATTCCAGCGAGTGCCACACAAAGCCAACGACTGGGCAGAAAATGCAGGGCGTGGCAACAGTTACTCCGCAGAACCCATGCCTCCTTGACCTGATATTTCCTCCAAAATGAATTTGACCATTTGCATAAGATTATCGGACCCTCAAAAACCTGTATTGGCCACTTGGAAACCACTTGGCTGTAATCAACATCACCAATTTGATAGTTGTCATTACCTGTCACACTGGGATTCTAGAATTTGTGAATCTGAATAAACCAGCTACTCACCTGGAGAGGGTTTGCTGGAGACCACTTTCTCTGGTTGCCTTGCAGTCACGGTACTTTTATGTTTCTGCTTGACGGATGTTTGGTCAATTGCTGGAAGTCTGGAATCAAAGTTCATCGCAGAATTCTTGATAGATAATCCTGGTTGGGCTAGAAGATCCTCCTCACTATCACTCTATGGAAAATGAAAGGAGTTTGAGTATCAGTAGCCTAGTAGGTGATTCTTGCTAAGCAGAGGGAAAAAAGCCGAATGCACTGACCCCCTCCGTCAGTAACTCTGGAGCAACCCACCATGATGCTCAATACGCCCATTCACCAGTGAGGTTTTGATGGACCGGGCTTATCAACGTAGAAATAACAGCAAAGTGCTGAGTCTTATTTGTAGAACATTATAAGAAGAATGCACATTTATTGGTCTGTCTTGTAGAACATTATGAAAAGACTGCATTTCTGGTCCTTAAGTAATTAGTTCATGTTCAAAGCCACATAAACTTCTTGCTATGTGTTGTTTGAACTACTTTGGCGGTGGGTGAGGAAAAAAAACCTTCCTTGTGTTAATCATACACTTGACAATGGAAAGGAAGTTTAGATAGTGTGCTGGGATCGAATAAGTCAGACCTCACTTTAATATTCTGAATTACTGGGTGCAACATAAGACAGACTGATCTTTTCAAAAGTCCCCTACTTGTCAGTCTGCTATAAAGAAGTCAGTATAAATCTATGCGGGGACAAATCATGATTCCTGCAATGTCAGAATATCTCAACACAGCCTTACAGACGCAGTAAAAGTTACCCAGCCATTCGATAGCTTGTGTACTTCGCCACACTCCCAACCACCAAAGTAATGATGAAAACAATATAAATGGCTTGTGAGAAACCCGGTCTAGAAGGGTGATTTAAGTCCTGCCTTATGGTTTAGGTGCTGGTGTTAGTGTGATTTGCTAGACCATACACTCAGCAACAAACAAAACCACAAGGCTTCCCACCCCCAACCCCAGGAATTCCAACACCTATCACTAAATTCTCCCACATTGTGCATTAGTCTAGTATTGGAAAAATGCAGTCTTTTGCAGACACAGAATGCTAAATGAATGCCCCCCTCACCTCCCCAGCTGTGGCAATTTATATTGATCTTGCTCATCGGTCTCACCGACAGTTATGGCATTTTCATTTCAAGGCTCCTGACTCAGGAAAATACTCTGACTAGCTTTGAGTGATTGGGTGCAACAGAAGACAAACTAAACTCTAAAAAAATCCCCCCTCTCGTCCATCTTCTGTAAAGAAGATCAAATCTACAGGTGGACCCATCGTCACCCTCCAAGACTGTAAATCATGCTTTGTAATTCAGAGTCCGGGTACAGCCTTCCAACAAATAATTATTGTTTCTCCCTACATGTTCGGCAAACAGACCACCCTCAGATAAAGGGACAGGAAAAGGCAAGGGCATAATGAATTGGTTGTTCTCCTCTTTCCTTTTCGATTCTGGAATTAAATAGAAATCCTTGAAAATTATTCTGAAATGTCAAAGATGAAACATTAGGTCATTTCTGAACATGAAATAGGCTCTCCATTCTCAGAAAAGGAAATGTGGGCACATTTTAATTATTGATGCCTGAGATTGTCATGGGCAAGAGGAACATCCGTGAGCGTGGAACAGAATTCCTCCCACAAACTGCCGCACACCAGCAACTCACACTAGTGGCTGGAGAATTCTCTGCTGCCCCAGGCCATGGTGAGCTGGGAGGAGCGTCTGAAGGGACTTCATTGGGTGGAGTGTTAAGCCATGTTTATCTTCCCTTTGCCCATTCACTCATTATACCTTAAGCCTTTAGTAGAACAGGTGACAGAAAGCTTGGCCAATTACGCCAGGCTTGTTGCATGTGGAATTGTGCCCCTGTGTTCCGAGTACATCCATCTCTGGTTCCTGGTTCCATCAACCTTACTTCCAGTTGGTAGTCATTCAGAGTCCAGAAATTGCAGCTGGAGGTGGGTGTTTTGTCAGTTGGAGACTAAATCCAGAATGGCAAGAATATACTTAGGAACGTGCTATTGGATCTTTTCCTGCCTGCTTCATTGAGTAATCTCAAGCAAATCGCTTGACCTTCTTGTGTCTTTATTAATGTCTTCTCATATACTCAGCCATTTTCATGTATCCTTTCTCATGAAAAGCTATCATATTTTTTGGGGAGAAGGACCCTCGGGTGTGTGTGTATGTATGTGTGTGTGTATGTGAATTCGTTAGTAATTCATTCTGGCACTAAAGTGTGGTATCTAAGATTCAGAGCCCAGGTTCCTGGGAGTGCATCCTGGCTCTTTCATGTGATTGATTGACACTGAGGTAGTTCCTCTCTGCATCTCAGATTGTCCCCTCTGTGAACAACAGTACCTACATGTTGGTGGTTCTGTGAGGAGTAAATGAGTTAAGGTATGTTTATAGCACTTAGAATAGTGCCAGGCAAACAGTAAGTGCCATGTGCATGTTGGCTTTTGCCGTTAGCCATTAATTCATGTTCAGCCATCTCAAAAATTAACCAGCTGATGACTGAACATTAACGATCCACTGTTGAAACCAAAATCAAAAGCCCCAATGAAGAGTTCAATAGAATTTTCACCTATCCCATAGAGATATGAGCAGAGATGTGGGTCAATTCCTATAATGGACTCTTGGCTTTTTCTGAAAGCAATTTATGATAGAATTGATCTAATCTTAAGAAAATATGGCACACTTTCTTTTTTTTCAGACAGTAACGCTCTAATGGCAAATATTTAACAACATTTAGAGATTCTCAAACAATAATAATTATTTTGATTTAAAGTTGATTTTAAAACTATGTCTTTTCCTCTTGTGATTTTGAACAGTAATTACAATTTTCATTTCTTCCCCCATATGTTCCTACGTTAAAATGTCACATGGAGGTGGAGGCGACAGCACACTGCTATTATTTGGGGGAAGAGAAGCAGCTCTCTCTTTTGAAATCAAAGCCAAGAACATAAAAGATAAAATAAAATGAAAACACTGAGCTACTTGATACAGGTGTTGGCTTCAAGTCTTCTGTTGGTAATTTGTTGAGAAAGTCCTAATCAAACTGTGTTAACGAAATGAAGTCATTGTCAAAATCAGTATTTTCTGGAATATGACTCTTTTAACATTTTCCAAAGACCCCCGGCTGTGCTATGGCATCATCCACACTGAAGCAGAGCTATTTCCTGGCCCAGGGCGAGGCTATCTCATGAGGTCACAGGACTCACACTGGGAAAAGCAGGGGCGGGGCTTACATTAGGGCATGTACGCAGCCTTGGGCACTGCAGTCAAGACTTGGTAACATTAGAATGGTTATAGTTAGACTCCTAGAAGAAGGAGAAGCAAGGGTTCCTTGGGGATGTGGGGTTGACTTAGATTTTTAAACTGGGACCTCAGAGGGTTGAGTCTGAAATGGAAACGCGACAATGAACAGAGAGGATCAGAAGAGCAAGGGGACTAGAGCAGTCAGGGACAGGAAAGATGAAGTCATTTTCCAACTCTTGCCTAATGGCTCATTTCCAGCACCCAGGGAACTGCTTCTCAACTGGCATGCCTGCCCCTCACCCCAGGGTGCGCTACTGAATTCAGATTGATGTGTACAAAACCCATTTTTGCCATGTATCACGTGATGGATGGCTGAGTCGAGCAGATCTTATGACACAGCGTAGCTCAGGGCACGGCTTGCTGTAAATGAGGGAGAGGAGGCAAGGAGTAGTGTCAGGGAGGTGCCAGAGAAAGACTATGTGTTTATTACCTTTGAAACAAATGCAGTCTCGTGAGATTCTGAAAGAGAGTGATCAAGGCAGTGAACCCCGACACGCAAACAGCGACAACATGGAAAGGGTGACCGAGGGACTGTGAATGCAAATGAGCATCTTCAGAGCACTGTCCTCAAAGTCCATATGCAAATTGTGCCTCAAACACACACCTGTCTTAGGGAATGAGGGCACCCCGCATAAACCACATTCTGGAGAGGATGGCTACCTTTCTGTGTTCAAGAAATGGAAGGTTAGTATGTTCTACCCCGAGTGCTGTTGCAGCACAAAGTGGGCTAAATTTTCTCTCATCCAAAACAACAACAACAACAACAAAAACCCAACCAACACTAAGGACAGCAAAGCCCTTCACACGTTCAGGACAATTTTGAGCTTATCAGAATTGTAAACGTGAACAACAATTAAAAATAGGGATTAGTAACTGTTATGTTTTTTGTTTTTTTTTTTACTCATGCCCCACCTACCTGAATCAAACTGCTGCTTGCCCCATTTCTCTCTCCCACCTGAAGACCCGCCCAGCTGCCAGGTGGGGTTGGCAAGACCAGGATCAGCAGTGGAAGCCCTGGCTCTCCATTTGCCACAAGATGCTTTTTTGAGTCCGCAGGGCTGCCGTGTGCATGAATATCACGGGCACCTGTTTCCATTGACTTCTGTAGAGAACTCTCCTTCCGGCCTCCTCTTCTCCGATTCCCAGGCTAGCAAGGTGGAATGAGCCAGCCCAGTGGTTGGCAAACTGCGGCTCGAGAGCCACATGCGGCTCTTTGGCCCCTTGAGTGTGGCTCTTCCTAAGCCTTAGGAGTACCCTAATTAAGTTAATAACAATGTACCTACCTATACAGTTTAAGTGTAAAAAATGTAGCTCTCAAAAGAAATTTCAATCATTGTACTGTTGATATTTGGCTCTGTTGACTAATGAGTTTGCCAACCACTGAGCCAGCCTGAGACACTGATCTGAGAGCAATGGTGGCCTCGTGACTAAAGCCTTCTTAAGGTTGGAAAGCCGTGGGGTCTGCTCTCTCACGTGGCATGTGGGGCTTCAGACTAGCTTCATGATTACTATCCATCCCACTACGGTTCAGCCTCTGGGTGAAACTTAGAGCCGATCCCTGGCGTGCTGTGGAAATCACTGTTGATTGACATGGGTGGTGGCCGCACATTTTTATATCTTGAGGACAAGTGTGTGCAGTGTCCTCTGGGATGGAGTTCTGTGTGGTGGCAGTGGGTAAGGAGGTGGTATATGGCCAGAAAATGGTTGGATTTAAAAAATTTGAACAGTGAAGTGTAGTGTTTGGAAGCACATTGAGACTGCCCTCAGTTGGGTATGGTTTTGCTACAGTGTGTTTCTCCGTCTTCCTTTATCTCAATTCATATTCTCCT